TGATAACAGCTGAGTTTTTCCTGAGTTGTTGCTGTTGTTAATGTGTAAGACCACCTTATCTCCCTCAAGGGACTCAGGTTCTAGACTTATACATGAAAATACACAGAAATATGTTGACTAACATATTGACTAGGAGGAGGAGGAGGAGGAGGTGACAGACAGCCGTCTTTCTGGGATCCTGGTCTCAGAAGATTCCTGCACTGAAGAGGTTGCGTGGATTAGAAGATAATGTCCCCCATTCCTTCTGAGCCTAACCTTGCATCTGATTCATCCAGCATATTGACCATTTCAGATCAATTGTGTAATTTGACTCTGAGCCCCAGCATCCTTCACAGACTTTGAGAAAGGGGTTTAACTCAAATGAGACTGACCTGTAACAGCGTCGGTAGAGATGGGGCCCAGGCGCTTGCGTCCAGTGAATCCATAAAGGTTGAACTTGTATCTGCGGGATGAGGCCAGATTGGGGATGATAACCTCATGAAAGACTCCCTCCACTGAGATGGTCTGAGGCTTGCCGTTGGCATCTTTGTACTGGACCTGGAAGCTGTCAAAGCTCCCAGTGGGGACTGTCCATGAGAGGCGGACAGAGTCACTGGTGATGTCAGAAGCAGAGAGCTGCCCCAAACTGGGAGGAACTGGAGGTTCCTGTGGAGATGATGCTGGAAAGGGTCAGGAGAAAAACAGAGCATTAGAAAGAGGAAGAGTAAGGGAGAGCTGAACTGCGAAGTACAAACTGAGCATGCAAATGCAGGGGGAGAAGATTCTGGCATAATTTGGGGGAAATAGACCTTGAAATTTGGGAGTTGCTGAGATTTATAGTTCACCTACAATCAAAGAGCATTCTGAACCCCACCAACAATAGAATTGGGCCCAACTTCCCACACAGAACCCTCATGATCAACAGAAAATACTGTTTTCTAATGGTCTTTGGCAACCCCTCTGACACCTCCTTGTGACACCCCCCCCCGAGGGGTCCAACCCCTAGGTTGAGAAACACTGGACTAGATGGTCTCTTCCAACGCTGTTATTCTATGATTCTATAAGATTCAGAACAAGGACTGTCTTCCTACAATGCAGCAAATGGAGGAAAGATCTGCAGAAATGAAATGAAGCTGACAGAAGTTTCCATTGTTACCTGTGACAGTGTCAGCAGAAATGGGGCCCACACGCTTGCGACCAGAGATTCCATACAGGTTGAACTTGTATCTCCGGGAGGGAACCAGGTTAGGAACGGTGATTTCACGAGACTCCCCCTCCACTGGCAGTATTTGGGGCTTTCCTTCACCATCTTTGTACTGGATTGAGAAGGAGTCAAAGCTACCAGTGGGCACTGTCCAGGACAGACGGACGGAGTTTCTGGTGACATCCGACACAGAGAGATCCCCCAAAGTGGGCTGAGGTGGTGGCGGTGGAGGCGTTGTGGGCAATAAAGCTGAGAAAACAGCAAAACAAAATAAAGATAAATATATGAAGAGAGGGTGTCATGATCTGCTGTCCAGACAAGAAACTGGTGGCATTGACCTTTTTCTACACTCATCCGGTAATGGATCATCAAAGTGTTGCTAATCTCTCCTTCATGTTGATCATACAGACATTCTGTTCTGATGTGAGCAAGCTCAGAAAGAGCTTGGTGACGGTTAGCAATGGTGGTGGAGAAATGGAAAAGATGAGATGTGAGTTTTCTCAGTGGAACAGACGCATGCCTTAGGACTTCATCACATGGGTTTAGCACAGCTGGTAAATCACCAGAAACTATAAAATCTATCAACTGAAAGGTTGCAAGTTTGAAGCCCTGGAGAGCGGAGTGAGCTCCCATCTGTCAGCTCCAGCTCCTCATGCAGTGACATGAGAGAAGATTCCTACAAGATGGTAACACTCCAGGTGTCCCCGGGCAACGTCCCTGCAGATGGCCAATTCTCTCACACGAGAAGCAACTTGCAGTTTCTCAAGTCGTTCCTGGTACAAAAAAAATTCCAACTGAAACTAGGGATCACAACCCCTCTGGCACAAGACCCACCAGCTGCCAATTGAACAATTTAGAAAAGCTCAAAGGGTCATATTTGAGTCCCCAGAGGTAAAGATTTGGCCCCAATGCCAGAAGGCTCTCATCTTCTTCTTGCTCAACCTGGGGTCCCCAGATGTTTTTGGCCTACAACTCCCAGAAATCCTAACAGCTGGTAAACTAGCTGGGATTTCTGGGAGTTGTAGGCCAAAAACATCTGAGGACCCCAGGTTGAGAACCACTGTTCTAGATGTATTGACTAAGGACCACTTTGACCAGGGGCCACTTGAACAGGGACCACTTTGACCAGGGATGATTCTCCAACATTAGTACCAAAAGGGTTACGAATCAGTTTTTGGTCAACTTTAGATTCAGTTTGGGGTGCTGATTCAAAAAACTGCGCTGTATAGACCACATCAGCTCTACTTTCTGAAACAGAACATATGCCATGGTCAGCGACAGGGAAGGAGTGGCAGGTGGCACAAAAGGAGTGGAAATAAAATAAAATAAAGAGAAAGGAGGCTCGTGGACCAGATTTTTGTCCTCACAGCCCACTGGTGGTCCATAGCCCACAGGTTAAGAACCACTGTTCTAGATGGACTCTTGCTGACCTGTCTCTGCTTCGGTGGAGATGGGACCAAGACGTTTTCTGCCTGAGACACCATAGAGGTTGATCTGATATCTGTGAGAGGGAACCAGGTCATGGAGATGGAGAGAACGCAGGTTCCCATCAACAGGGAGAGCTTGCGATTTGTTCTGAGCATCTCGGTACTGGATGATGAAAGAGTCAAAATTTCCTTCCTCAACAGTCCAGGAGAGATCGAGAGAATTTGACATAATGTTACTTGCTGTCAGCTGTCCCAGTCTGAGTGGGGGAGTGGGGTTCTCCATCAGTGGGGCTGAAACAGAGAAGAGCAGGAGTTGAATGCTCTCATTGTCCTGGAGAGAACTCCAAGGGATACAGAATCATAGAATCAAAGAGTTGGAAGAGACCTCATGGGCCATCCAGTCCAACCCCCTGCCAAGAAGCAGGAATATTGCATTCAAATCACCCCTGACAGATGGCCATCCAGCCTCTGTTTAAAAGCTTCCAAAGAAGGAGCCTCCACCACACTCCGGGGCAGAGAGTTCCACTGCTGAACGGCTCTCACAGGCAGGAAGTTCTTCCTCATGTTCAGATGGAATCTCCTTTCTTGTAGTTTGAAGCCATTGTTCCGCGTCCTAGTCTCCAGGGAAGCAGAAAACAAGCTTGCTCCCTCCTCCCTGTGGCTTCCTCTCACATATTTATACATGGCTATCATATCTCCTCTCAGCCTTCTCTTCAAACTAGGCCATGGTTTCTTTCATCCAACCTCTGGTAATAATTAGGAAGGGGCCCTAGGCTCTCCTTCCCTCTTCATAAGAGTTCACTTTGTGGGATATCTCTGGAATTATGATATATAACTCATCTAAAACACAGCAAAACTCCGCTGGAGTAAAGGTAATGTTATGGGCGCTGGTCAATCATGGTTTCAGAGCTTACAATGCTAGGAATATTTGACAATTATGTGGAAGCTCAGCCCTTGGAAAATTTATTTATTATTTATTACACAGTTTTGTATACTGAGCTTCTCAACCTCGTTGAGGGACTCAGCCCGGTTTACAGACATAAAAACATATACATTCATTAAAATATCATATATCACAAATTACAAAACAACTTTAAAATACACTAAATATAAAACTACAGTGGTCAGTCGTCCTAATAAGATGGATCTATATCCACTTCCATCCAGAGTCCTATGGTGTTATCTCATTCCTCGAAGGCCTGACTCCACAGCCACGTCTTCACCCGTTTCCTAAATGTTAGGATGGATGGGGCGGTTCTGGCCTCCAGAGGGAGAGAGTTCCAGAGTCGCGGGGCCACCACCGAGAAGGCCCTGTCCCTCGTCCCCACCAGGCGCGCTTGCGAGGCTGGTGGGACCGAGAGCAGGGCCTCTCCAGATGATCTTAGTAATCTTGATGGTTCGTAGGGGAGAATACGTTCGGTGGTTCGTAGGGGAGATAAGTTACATTTTGGACCACAGTGCCTATTAAGTAGTTCAGGAAAAGTAACTTTTCTACAGGAGAGCAAACTTTCAGAATATAATGCAACTTATAAATATTGAAGGTACTTATATATTTATAAGTACCCTCAATTTATACTATGGATCCAGTAGCAGCTGCTTTATCTCACCTAGGTTGAAATGTATAGTTGGCGTTCGACATTTGCAGGTTTAACTTTTGATTTGACCATTCACAGATAATTCACAGATTTAATTAATACGATTTCCCTGGGAATCTCTTGGTCCTCCACTGTGAGTCTATGATCACAGTTCAGGATGTATTCTGTAATTTGAGGGGTTTTTTTTTCCTTTTTACACAGGAAACATGTTTTTCTGCATTGAAATGAAATTATGATTTTTGGGAAGGAAACTTGCTTTCTGCATAGGAAATGCTGCTTTCTGCACACAAAAAGCCACCTACTTCCTTTGCACGGAGCATATCCCAAATTGCAACATTGTCATCTGTCCAGGATCCTTCGCAACATGGCTTCCTAACAGATGGAAACAACATCTTTGGTTTTGCTGTGAGTTTTCCGGTCTGTATGGCCATGTTCCAGAAACATTCTCTGCTGACCTTTTGTGCACATCTATGGCAGGCATCCTCAGAGGTTCCAAGGTCTGTTGGAATTAGGCAAGTGGGGTTTGTATATCTCTGGAATGCAGGGATATATTCCACATATGGTTTTTGTTTTTTCATGTCAGGAGCAACTTGAGAAACTAACTAAATAAAATAAATAAATAAACAGAGGCTGGATGGCCATCTGTCAGGGGTATTTTAGATTGTGCATTTTGGGTGTGAGATAATTGGCAGTCTGCAAGGACGTTGCCTAATGGGACACTGCCTGGATGTTTTGATGTTTGAACATCCTTAGAATCATAGAATCGTAGAATCAAAGAGTTCGAAGAGACCTCATGGGTCCAGTCCAACCCCCTGCCAAGAAGCAGGAATATTGCATTCAAATCACCCCTGACAGATGGCCATCCAGCCTCTGTTTAAAAGCTTCCAAAGAAGGAGCCTCCACCACACTCCGGGGCAGAGAGTTCCACTGCTGAACGGCTCTCACAATCAGGAAATTCTTCCTCATGTTCAGATGGAATCTCCTCTCTTGTAGTTTGAAGCCATTGTTCCTAGTCTCCAAGGAAGCAGAAAACAAGCTTGCTCCCTCCTCCCTGTGGCTTCCTCTCACATATTTATACATGGCTATCCTATCTCCTCTCAGCCTTCTCTTCTTCAGGCTAAACATGCCCAGCTCCTTAAGCCGCTCCTCATAGGGCTTGTTCTCCAGACCCTTGATCATTTTAGTCGCCCTCCTCTGGACACATTCCAGCTTGTCAATATCTCTCTTGAACTGTGGTGCCCAGAATTGGACAAATATTCCAGGTGTGGTCTTGTGGGAGGCTTCTCTCATGTCCCCACATGGGGAGCTGGAGCTGACAGAGGGAGCTCATCTGCTCTCCTCTAATTCAAATCTCCAACCTGTCAACCTTCAGTCCTGCCGGCAGAAGGATTTAACCCAATCATCCTCAATCTGCAGCCCTCCAGCTGTTTGGTCCTTCAATTCCCAGAATTCTTGACAACTGAACAAGCTCATTAGAGCTTCTGGGATTTGGATACCCAAACAGCTGGAGGGCCACAGTTTGAGGATGCTTGTTTAACCCATTGTGCTACCAGGGCCCCACAGATATATAAACCCAATTTTCCTAGTTTTCAACAGACCTCACCACCTCTGAGAATGCCTGCCATATATACAGGTGAAACGTCAGGAGAGAATGCTTCTAGAATATGGTCATACAGCGGGAAAACTCACAGCAACCCAGTGATTCCGACCATGAAAGCCTTCAACCACACATTTTTGGTTTCATAACAGAGCTGGAAAAAAAACTGTGAAAGGAAAAAACTGTTGCCTGTGAAAAAGCAATGGTTATGTTGTGTACAGCTGACCTGTGACTGCCTCAGTGGAAAGGGATTCGATTCGCTTGGTACCAGAGACTCCGTAAAGGTGGAATTTGTATTTATGGGAAGGGACCAGGTTGGAGATGGTGACTTCACGGGTATTGGTGCCCACAGGCAAGGCCTGGGGTTTACCCTCCGCATCCTTGTACTGAATCAGGAAGGAGTCAAAAGATGGTCCAGACAGGACAGTCCAGGCGAGTTTGAGCGAATCACTAGAAATGTCAAAACTGGAGAATTCCCCAAGCTTGGGCTGGGGGGCTGATACTCCGGCTTGTTCTGGCAGCAATGGTGAGGCTGGGGCTACAAGAAAAAGAGGGAGGAAAGAAAAGGGAGGCAAATAAAACGTACATCAGGATTGTCTGAAATTCTTCTGCGCCTGTAATCATGAAATTGTGAATAAAAGAAAGCAAAGGTCCCTCAACCAGTCACCATAGGTTCAGAACAGAGTAAAGAACCGCACTCATTGCTTCCCACGTTCCTAAAGGGAAAACTGGAAAGTAGATATTGGAGATTGAGAGAGCTTCCACATTGCAGGAAGCGTCTCTCATGTCCCCGCATGAGGAGCTGGAGCTGATAGAGGGAGCTCATCCCCGCTCTCCCCGGATTTGAACCTGAGACCTGTCGGTCTTCAGTCCTGCGAGCACTGGAGTATAACCCACTGCACCATTGGGGGCTCCTAATGAGCTGATTTTTTTTTCGTGTCAGGAACGACTTGAGAAACTGCAAGTCGCTTCTGGTGTGAGAGAATTGCCCATCTGCAAGGGTGATGCCCAAGGGATGCCCGGATGTTTTGATGTTTTATCATCCTTGTGGGAGGCTTTTCTCATGTCCCCACATGAGGAGCTGGAGCTGACAGAGGGAGCTCACCCGTGCTCTCCCCGGATTTGAACCTTCAGTCCTGCCAGCACAGGAGTTTAACCCACTGCACCACTGGGGGCTCCTAATGAGCTGATAACAGTGGGGTATAAATATAGCATGTGCCAATTGTTCTTTCTCTTCTCTCTTGCATCATGACCATGCTAACAAGCAAGTGTCAGTGCAATGAATGAAATGTAGATAAAGATAAGAGCCGTCGTTGAAGCAGAAACGACAGTCTGAAGTCAGCTAATTGGATTATAAGAAGCATGTTGGCCAGCAAATTGCATTGATATGCAAAGCCTTTCAGGGCTTTTTTTCATGAAACTGCAAGTCACTTCTGGTGTGAGAGAATTGGCTGTCTGCAAGGACATTGCCCAGGGGATGGCCGGATGTTTTACCATCCTGTGGGAGGCTTCTGTCATGTCCCCGCAAGGGAAGCTGGAGCTGACAGGTCGGAGTTCACCCTGCTCCCCATATTCGAACCTTTTGGTCAGTAGTTCAGACGGCACAAAGGGAGCTCCTATTTCAGGACTGCAAACAAGAGTTTCTTGCCATGCAAAACTAATGAAAAAATGGCTTTTTAATGAATGTTTTTGTGCAAGGATTCTATGCTCCTAATCCCAGAGAATGTGGAGGGATTAGTGTAGAAAAGAATGAACCCCAGTATGAACCCAGCTAGAACCAATAATTCAGCCGGTGCTGCTGACCTGTAACTGCCATTGCAGGCAGAGGGCCATAACGCTTGCTTTCAAAAACCCCATAGAGGTTGAATCTATATCTTTGTGAGGGTTCCAGGTTTGGCACTGTGAGGGTTCGGGAAATGCCGTCCACAGGCAATGACTGAAGTCTCCCTTGTGGATCTTTGTACTGGACTAGGAAGGAATCAAAATCCCCAGTGGGGACGACCCAGGAGAGATGGACTGAATTACTGGTGACATCGGAAACAGAGAGCTGGTCCAGGCTTAGATGAGTGGTGACTCTTTCCGTGGTCACCTCTGGTGATGTTGCCATTGCAGCTAAAACAGAGAGGGGGAGAGAAAGACAGAGATGGTAATCCTTTGGGGTAGGCTGAGACCAGGTCTTAGAAACGTTATTATTTTGGACTACCGCTCAAAGTGCTTATGACCTGCTTTAGTTGCCTGTTGCTGACCTGTAGTCGCATCAATGGAGAGGGGGCCTGAACGTTTGCGTCCAGAGACTCCATAGAGATTGAACTTGTATCTGCGGGAAGGAACCAGGTTGGGGACAATGACCTCCCGGGTGCCCCCTTCCACTGGCAATGATTGGGGTTTGCCTTTGGCATCTTTGTACTGCACTAGGAAAGAATCAAAGCTCCCAGTTTGGATGGTCCAGGAGAGACGGACAGAATTGGTGGTGATATCGGAAACAGAGAGCTCTCCCAGTGTGGGCTGAACAGTGGTCTCCTCCTCACTCTCCTGGGAGACTGGAGTGGAGGCTAAAATAGAGGAAACAATAGTAACAAAAAGGCAACAGCATTCCTTCCTGCCACCATCCTAGCAAAATAAAACAAAAACACAAGCATAAGTTTAAAGTTTAGTCCTGTTCCTCAATACATTGGCTGGGCTCATTCCCTTAGAATGGACTCTGCATTAGAAATTTTCACTTAATTCTAGCAAATGAAGAAAAGGAGAGAGAGAAATGATAAGCTTTTTGTTGATTGTGTCATTATATTTAGCTGGAGACATGAGCTGAAATGAAGAGAGGTGACACTCTGAAGTCCTGAAACAAAGCAATCAAGCACTCCAGCAAAAAAGCATGCGGGGAATGCGGAAGTACTTCATCAGTGTCACAGATGGACGATGAAAGCGACAGCTCTCCTGGTGGCCAGAAAAAGTTAAATAGCCTCTGTCTATGTCTGTATATGTTGTATGTCAAAATTGGCATTGAAAGTTTGCCATATATGTGTACACTGTAATCCGGCTGAGTTCCCTGCGGGGTGAGAAGAGCGGAACATAAAAGCTGTAAATAAATAAATAAATAAATAAATAAATAAGCATATAAAACTGTCCACAGGGCTGGATCCAGACATATTGGGGCTTCTAGGCATTGAATCCAATAGCGTTACCAAAAAGAGCATGGTTCAGATATTGTTCAGGAATGTTTTGTTTTTGTATGTAGAGGTTCTTCACTAAACTGAGTTCCTAGATTCTACTTTAAGCTTGTGCATAAATGTGGACCTAGGACTTCATCACATTGAAGCTGGGAAGTGTTTGGCAGAGTAGAGCTCAGTCTCAGTTTTCATAGAATCACAGAGTTGGAAGAGACCTCATGGGTCATCCAGTCCAACCCTCTGCCAAAAAGCAGAAAAATCACATTCAAAGTACCCCTGACAGATGGCCATCCAGCCTCTGTTTAAAAGCCTCCAATGAAGGAGCCATTATGATTATTTTCCCACTTTCCTCACACTGTTAAATATATCTGTGTTACTCAGTTGTACTCAACATTCTTTCAGTACATTTGGCATCACACTATAATCGCTAGGCAATGTCCACCTACCCCCCCCCCTTCTTTGTGGGAAAAACGTCCTCTCTTTCAGTACATTTGGCATCACACTATAATCGCTAGGCAATGTCCACCTACCCCCCCCCTCCCCGTTCTTTGTGGGAAAAACGTCCTCTCTTTGAAATGTCAGCTGTTATGTGTCAATTCTGGAAGCAAGGAGGGAGGGAGGGAGGGAGGGAGGGAAAGCGACACTGCTCTCTCTCTCTCTCTCTCCTGAACCTTGGGAAACGATAACTCCCAGGGCTGTACAGCATGGAGGCATGGCATAATAACAATACGCTCTTGTTACGTCCAGTATAGACTACTGCAATGCACTCTACGTGGGATTGCCTTTGAGGACTGCTCGGAAGCTTCAAATAGTCCAATGAGAGGCAGTCAGGTTAATAACTGGGATGGCATACAGGGACCGTACAACTCCCATGTTACGCCAGTTCCACTGGCTGTCAGTTTGCTACCAGGCACAATTCAAAGTGCTGGCTTTGAATTGGGCCCGGCTCAATTTACCTGTCCAAATGTATCTCCCCCTATGAACCATTGCAGAGATTAAGATCCTCCGGGGAGGCCCTGCTTTCCATCCTGTCATTGTCACAGGCACGATTGGTAGGGATGAGAGACAGGGCCTTCTCGGTGATTGCCCCCCGGCTATTTATTATTTATTTATTTGCTTTATTTCTATACCACATATTTCAGCCCAGACAGGCGACTCAATGCGGTTTGGAATTCCCTTCCTGGTGAGATCAGATCAGCCCCCTCCCTCCTGTCCTTCAAAAGGATGGTAAAAACTTGGCCATTGGACCAAGCTTTTGGGACAGGGCAATAAGCAGCAATAGGAAAGATGACCAGGCCAATTAGATTTGACACTGATGACCAGGACGGTTTTAAATTGTGTATTTTAATATTGAGATAAATGTTTTTAATGTTTATGTATGCGTATATGAATTCTTGTCCTGGCATTGAATGTTTGCCGTATATATGCTGTGCTGCGCCCTGAGTCCCCTTTGGGGTGAGAAGGGTGGAATCTAAATGTTTTTAAATAAATAAATAAATAAGTAAAATGGGAATGCAGCTCTTGAAATGGCATGGAGATTCCTGCTGCTGACCTGTAATGGCATCAGTAGAGACTGGACCTAAGCGTTTACGGTCGGCAACTCCATAGAGGTTGAACTTGTATCTGTGGGAAGGAACCAGGTTGGGGATGACCACCTCACGGGAGTCCCCCTTCACAGGCAATGCTTGCAATTTGCCTCCAGCATCCTTGTATTGCACTTGAAAAGAGTCAAAGCTCCCAGTGGGAATGGTCCAGGAGAGACGGACGGAGTGGTTGGTGACATCTGAAAGGGAGAGTTCTCCCAGGCTGGGCTGAACAGGGGTCGGATCCTCACTCTCTTGCGAAGCTGTATTTGGGAGTGAAACAGAGAAAGAAAAGTGACCGGTGCCACAAGTCCTTAAATGGTCAGCCTGTGTCCTTCCTAAATCAGAGGAGAGTGAATGTTGGAGTTTAGTAAGCTGCTACATTCTTAGTTGACATAAAATATCTTGTTTGCCTCCAAGTATCCTTTAGGTTATGGGTTGTTTGGGTGCTGCTCATTGTTTACTGTCCTGATTTTAGAGGGTTTTTTAAAATACTGATGGCCAGATTTTGTTCATTTTTATGGTTTCCTCCTTTCTGTTCAAATTGTCCACATGCTTGTAGATTACAATACCATCAGTTGTTAGAGTGTAGAGTAAAATCAGGACAGTAAATAAAGAACAACATTTAGAAAACAGGGGAATTCCAGAAAGGAAACCATCAGGGCCAGATAACACCTCCCAACAAGGGATTCCCCCAGACAGGAAGCAACCACACTTTGAAGCTGCAAGGCCATTCAATACTAATCAAGGTCTTTGATTACTCTATCCAAGCAGATAACTGCAAGGATTTTAAAGTTTAGTCTTTTCCTCGATAAATCTGAGTCCATTAAAGTACAGTAATGGATACAGTAATGAAAGACTAAACGAAAGGAAGAAGATTTGAAGTCAATAGCTCTCCCCCCTTTTTTATTTTTTGGTTTTTTTCTTAGTTATTTCTTATTTCTTAGTTATTTTTTAGTTATTTTATTCCCCTCCCTTTTAGCCCAATAAGGATGTCTTTGTAATTTGATGTTTGTTGTTATTGTTGCCTTATATTTTAGTTTATGTATGGTATTACTCTTTAATAAAAACATTAAAAATACTAATCAAGGTGGCCAATTACAACATTCACACTTGCCTTAAGCAGACAAGAATTCTTATTCCACAAATATATAAACCTCACTTGCCTAGTTTCTAACAGACCTCACATCCTCTGGGGATGCCTGCCATAGATGTGGGTGAAACGTCAGGAGAGAATGCTTCTGGAACAAGGCCATATAGCTTGGAAAACTCACAGCAACTCAATATTTTCCTTGCAACTATATGCCGCAATTTGAGCTCTGGGAAAACAACTGACATCTCCAGAACAGGAGCAAAGATGTCTAAAACCTGTGCAGCAGGTCACAGATTAACTAGATATTTATTGCTCTGTAATGTGGTTGGCTGGAAACAGTTTCCTACATCCCACTGGCAAAAAAGAAGGCTGTGATCCAGAAAGAGAGAGAAAAATATGATTGCAAGCCAAACATTTGTTTGAATTGGTCTCAAGCTGATGGATAAAAAAGGAAGTGAAAAATTAAGCAACGAACAGAGGGAGAAATGCAAAAGATAGATGAGCAAAAGAAACAAGGAGATTGTACAATATTCACACCACAGGAAAGACTGTTAATAATTAAATGAATAATAAAGTGCGAGGCCAACACCTTCTGATATTCCCAACGCTCTCCTTTAAGGAAACAAAGAAGTTAAAATGGGAAGAGAAATGTCCGAAGACACTATAGACTGCATTTTCTGCTGCTGTGGGTGCTGACCTGTCATGGCCTCCGTGGTGAGGGGGCTTGACCGCTTGCGCCCAGAGACCCCAAAGAGGTTGAACTTGTATCTGTGGGAATGAGCCAAGCTGGGGATGAGGACTTCCCGGGCATCCCCTTCCATGGGCAATGCTTGGGCTTTTCCTTCGGCATCCTTGTACTGCACTAGGAAAGAGTCAAAGCTTCCAGTGTGGACAGTCCAGGAAAGACGGAGAGAATTGTTGGTGACATCAGAGACTGAGAGCTTTCCCAGGCTGGGCTGAATAGCGGTCCCTCTCTCAGCCTCTGGGGAGACTGGGGCGGAAGCTAAAGACACACAAACACAGAAAGAGGGAGGTTAGTATGCAGACCAATTTTCTTGCTGTGCCATCCTTACAAAGTTCTGGAGAGACTTGTTCTGCATAAGTCTATTTCCCCCCCCCATGATTCTATGCAGAATCTGATCTAGACACTGAAGGAATGGAAGACCTGTACAAACAGTTCCTCGAGGTGTTTGAGACACCAACTCATAGAGGCCCTAGCCAGCTTGTCCTATGGTCAGGAATTCTGGGAACTGAAGTCCAAAACAACTGGAGGGCCACAGGTTGTACAGGTCTACCAAGAAGTCATGCTGGAGGATGTGGATAACAGATACCATGAATCATAGAGTTGGAAGAGACCTCATGAGTTATCCAATCCAACTCCCTGCCAAGAATCAGGGAAATCGCATTCAAAGCACCCCCAACAGATAACCATCTGGCCTCTGTTTAAAAGCCTCCAAAGGAGCCTCCACCACACTCCGGGGAAGAGAGTTCCACTGCTGAACACCTCTGTTAGGAAGTTCTTCCTAATGTTCAGGTGGAATCTCCTTTCCTGTTATTTGAAGCCAAATTTCTGGAAAGGCTCCAGCTACATGGACTTTTTCTGCTGACCTGTTGTGGCCTCAGTAGAGATGGGGCTGGATCGTTTGCGCTCAGAGATTCCATAGAGGTTGAACTTGTATCTGCGAGAAGGATGGAGATTAGAGATGGTGGCCTCACGGAAGCCCCCCTCTATGGTCTGCGCCTGGGTCTTGCCCTGTGCGTCCTTGTACTGGATCAGGAAGGAGTCAAAACTCTCAGTACGGACAGTCCAGGAGAGGAGGACGGAATCACTGGTGACGTCAGAGGCTGAGAGCTCGCCCAAAGTAGGCTGAACAGATACCGTCTCTGTTGGTCTTTCTTTTTTAGTTTCCTTAGGAGCTGTTGCATAAGGTCGGGGGGAAACAAATGGACAAAGAACAACTGGAGTCAGAACCATTGGGCATATCTAGCATTGTCCACAACATTGACCACAACACCAATCCAATACTCAAACAGATGGTCGAAAATTATTTAGCTGCTTGTGCTCCCTCTATTTTATCAGTTTTATACTTATTTATGCAATGCTTTTGACACGAAATAAATAAACAAACAAATAAATGGTCTTCCAAAGGCGAAGAGATTTTAGGATGCAAAGAATGAGGACCCCATCCCCTCAGAAAGAACGTTGGCTCTTTAAGTTTCTAACCTGTAACAGCATCGGCAGAAACAGGTCCCAGATGCTGAGAGCCGGAGATGCCATAGAGGTTAAACCTGTATCTTTGGGAAGGAGCCAAATTGGTGATAGTGGCCTCACGGAGATCCTGGTTCACAGGCAGGGACTGATCGTTGCCCTCTGGATCTTGGTACTGGATTAAGAAAGAGTCAAAGCTGCCTAAGGGGACGCTCCATATGAGACGGACAGAGTCGCTGGTAGTATCGGAGACAGACAGGTCACCGAGGACAGCTTCAGGTGTGGGTTCTTCTCTCCGTGGTGCTATGTGCAAGTATAAAATAAAATGAAATTGCAACTATTAGCATGCTTCAATTCGGGAGAATGAAATGGAAAATGAATAACAGAAGGAGAAAGAGGAGGAAAAGCAAAAAAGGAGGTGATGAAAGGAGGCAGAGGAAGAGGTAAAGAAGGGTGAGATATATTTATTGTATCAGGAGCAAACCAAATAGTTGTCTTGTATTTAAAAAAAAACAAACCAAGTTTGAAAACTTGGTTTTTTATTAAATGTCCTTTGACCAGTATCTGGCCACTTTGAGTGCCTCTGGTGTTGCTATAAGAGGGTCCCCCACTGTGCATGTGGCAGGGCTCAGGTTGCATTGCAGTAGGTGGTCTGTGGTTTGCTCTTCACCACATTCGCATGTCATGGACTCCACTTTGTGGCCCTGTTTCTTAAGGTTGCCTCTGCATCTCGTGGTGCCAGAGCCCATTCTCTTCAGCGCCTTTCAAGTCACCCAGTTTTCTGTGTGCCCAGGAGGGAGTCTCTCATTTGATATCAGCCATGGATTGAGGTGCTGGGTTTTCACCTGCCACTTTTGGACTCTTGCTTGCTGAGGTGTTCCAGCAAGTGTCTCTGTAGGTCTTAGAAAACCATTTCTTGATTTAAGTCATTGGCGTGCTGGCTGATACCCAAACAGAGGATGGGCCGAAGATGTCACTGCCTTGGTCCTTTCATTGCTGGCTGCTACTTCCCAGCGGGTGTCAGGTACTGCAATACTGGCTAGACAGTGTCATTTCTCCAGCGGTGTTGGATGTAAACATCCTGTGATAATGCAGCATGTCTCATTAAGAGCCATATCCACTGTTTTAGCATGGTGAGATGTATTCCACACTGGGCATGCATACTCAGCAGCAGAGTAGCAAAGCGCAAGTGCAGATGTCTTCACTGTATCTGGTTGTGATCCCCAGGTTGTGCCAGTCTGCTTTCATATGATATTGTTTCTAGTGCCTACTTTTTGCTTGATATTCAGGCAGTGCTTCTTGTAGATCAGAGAACGGTCCAGGGTAACTCCCAGGTATTTGGGTGTGCTGCAATGCTCCAGTGGGATTCCTTCCCAGGTAATTCTAGAGTTCGGAATACTTGTCTGTTCTTAAAATGAAAAGCACACATCTGTGTTTTAGATGGATTAGGAATAAGCTGGTTTTCCCTGTAATAGGCAGTAAGAGCACCTAGAGCTTTGGAGAGCTTCTGTTCAACCATTTCAAAGCTCCCTGCTTGAGCGGTAATGGCACAATCATCAGCATAGATGAAACTCTCTGTCCCTTCTGGCAGTGGCTGGTCATTTGTGTAAATTTTGAATACTGATGGAGAAAGCGTGCTCCCTTGAGGCAGGCTGATCTTATGTTTTTGCTATCTGCTTCTTTGGCCGTGGAACTCAACAAAGAAGCTCCTGTTTCGTAGCAGGGAAAGATGCTACAAAAGCAACCAGAAGGATGAGATGAAAAAGTGAGGAGGATGAAGGGGAGAAAGAAGAGAAGAAAGGAGGAATGTGGGAAGGAAGATACAAAATTGTAGAGGAAAAGATATAATAGAAAAGTAAGAGGACAAGGCAAAGGAAGAGAAGGAGGGGAAGGAAGGATGAAAAGGATACGAAGAAAAAAGAGAAGGATGCGGAAGCAAAAGGGGAAAAAAGGAAAGGAGGAAGAGAAAGATGAGAAATGGTAAAAGAAAAAGGATAAAGAGTGAGGAGGAGGAGGAGGATAAGAAAAAAAACAGAATTTGTGAAAGTGAAAGGAACACAATTTGAATAATTCTCATCAAAATGCCTTTGAAGCTGGTCTCCTACTGTAATATTAAGGGGTTACTGGAAAACACAGCGTGCTATAAGAAGAGAGGGAATTTGCTTATGATATCTGAAATGCAACTTCATTATGTATTTGTTACACCAATCAGGTGGGAGAATGAGAGATGGCTTCCTGTGAATAAATGTGGTGATATTTGCATTTGTTCCAGTGCTAACCTGTGGTGACATCGGTGGTAGCAGGACCAAGACGTTTGCGATTGGAGATACCATAGAGGTTGAAGCGATATTTGCGGGATGGAGCCAGGCTGGGGATTGTGACTTCGTGGACGTCCCCTTCGGCGGGGATCACTTGAGGCCTGCCCTCAGCATCCTTGTACTGGATCACAAAGGATTCAAAGCTGCCAGAGGGGACACTCCAGGACAGATGGACAGAATCGCTGGTGATATCGGAGGCAGAGAGTTCCCCCAAGCCTGGTGGAGCAGGCAGTTTCTTCTCTGGCTTTGCTGTTGTGGGTAAGACAGATAACAAAAAGGAAAGATAAAAAGAAATTTAAAAAGCACTAAAGCATGATGTGGCAGTCTGGGAATTGGACTACAGGAACAGGATTCAAATCAGTGACACAAAACTCACTTGAATGGTCTTGTTGACCATTTCTGCTAGCTTGGCAGCCACCTCTCAACAAAAACCAACATTGAGACTGAAATACGCCGCCTGAGCTCTGCGAGTGCAGCATTTTTCTGAATGAAGCAGAGAGTGTTTGGGGATAGGGACATCCGTAGGGATACAAGGTGCTTGTTTATAAAGCTACTAGCTGTATGCGCCACGCGTTGCTGTGGCCAACCTTCCCTCTTTCTCTTCTTCTTTACCTCCTTCCTTCACTCCCTCTTTCCTTCTTTCCTTCTCGTCTTTCCTTCTCTTCTTCCTTCCTTCACTGTCACTTTCTTCCCCCTTTTCTTTCTCTTCTGCTGTCTCTCTTTTCTTCCTTCTCTCTTTCCTTCTTTCCTTCCCTCCCTTTCTCTACATCTTCCCCTCCTTCGCTCCCTCTTTCCTTCCTTCTTTTCCTTGTTTCTTTCCTTCTCTCCTTCCTTCCTTCTCTACTTTCCTTCCTTCCCCCTTTTTCTTTCCCTCCCTCTTTCTCTCCTTTCTTCCTTCTCTATCTTTCCTTCTTCTTCTTTTTCCTCCTCCTCTTTTTCTCTTCTCTCTTCCCCTTTCTTTCTTTCTTTCTTTCTTTCTTTCTTTCTTTCTTTCTTTCTTTCCCTCCTTCTTTTCTTTTCTTTTCTTTTCTTTTTTTTTCTTTCTTTTTTTCTTCCCCTTCCCTACCTCTTTCTTCCTTTTTTCTGTATTGTAGCTTTTCGTCATTTAGTTTTTTGGGGCTTTTTAAGTCCCTTCTGCTGTGCTTTTCAGTGTTTTTGAGTGAAGGACATACATTGGGTTGTTAGGTGTCTTGTGTCCAAATTTGGTGTCAATTCCCCCAGTGGTTTTTGAGTTCTGTTAATCCCACAAATGAACATTAAATTTGTATTTATATAGATTGCTCTCCTAAACCTGTTATACGTCTGCAAAATGTGGACTATCTACAGGCGTCACACTCAACCCCTTGAACAATTCCATCATCGTTGCCTCTGAAAAATATTGTAAATCTCTTGGGAAGATAGGAGGACAAATGTCAGCGTGCTGGAAGGATCAAAGACCACCAACATTGAAGCGATGCTCCTACACCATCAACTCTGCTGGACTGGTCATGTTGTCCGAATGCCCGATCACCCAAAGCAGTTACTCTACTCCCAACTCAAGAATGGAAAATAGAATGTTGGTGGACAGGAAAAGAGATTTGAAGATGGGCTTAAAGCCAATCTTTAAAACTCTGGCATAGACACCGAGAACTGGGAAGCCCTGGCCCTGAGTGCTCTAACTGGAGGCCAGTTGCGACCAGCAGTGCTGTGGAATTTGAAGGGACATGTCAAGCCAACCCTGATCAGGACCGCCTTCCATCTGGAAACCAATGTCCTCACTGCAGAAGAACATGAGGATCAAGAATAGGTTTCCACAGCCACCTATGTATCCACTGCCAAGACACTACACTTGGCGAGTCATCATCCTCAGGCTATGAGGGATCAACTAAGTAAGTACGTAAATAACTTGGACACGTCAACTTCATAAGGCAATGGCAGACCCTCTTCTGAGCAAGACCCTTTGATAGATTCACCTTAATTTGGAAAGAACTAAACAACAATATAGTACAGAGTTAGATTATCATTTACCTGAAATGATTAGTTCTCTAGATGTTTTGACCACCATTCCTGGCCATTAGTTATGGTGGTGGAGGCTTCTGGGAGTTGAAGTTCAAAATTAAAAACACATTAAACTTCCAGGAAATGTGCTACTCACCTGTGACAGCTTCTGTGGAAACAGGGCCATGACGCTTGCGACCCACAAGTCCATAAAGGTTGAATTTGTATTTTCGAGAAGGTACCAGGTGAGAGATGATGGCTTCCCGCAAGTCCCCGTTCAAAGGCAGTGACTTCTGTTTGCCTTCAGCATCTTTATACTGGATTAAAAAGGAGTCAAAAGTCCCGGTGGCGACGCTCCAGGAAAGGCGTGCAGCATTGTCAGTCACTTCCAAGACTGAGATACCACCTAGGCTGGGCTTTTCTACTGCTGATGGTGGGGCTGAAAAGGAAGAAGAAAGGAGCATGAAAGGGGACAAATAAAACAGTTGTGAATCATAGAATCCTAGAGTTGGAAGAGACCTTATGGGTTATCCAGTCCAACCCCCTGCCAAGAAGCTGAAAATTGCATTCAAAGCACCCCCGACAGATGGCCCATTCAGCCTCTGTTTAAAAGCCTCCAAAGAAAGAGCCTCCACTACTGCTGAACAGCTTTCAACGAGTGACCATCACTCATAAAAACACTGAAAAACACAGTGGAAGGGACTTAAAAAGCCAAAAAAGCAAAAAGACACTACAGCGCATAGGCAAAAATAACTCCCCCAGCAAACAAAACACACAATAGCATATCCACACTCTCTTCTGGACTACAGCTCCCAGCATCCTCTAGACCAGGCCTTTTAGAAGAGGAGGATGATCCAAATGCATTGCTTTCAAGCTGCAAGCTTTCTTCCCCTTGGATTTCTTTGAGAGCATCCCAATCTCTGCATATTTCCAATTTCCTATTCCTGGACTGCAACTCCCAGCAATCCTCAAGATAGATAGATTAGATAGAGATAGATAGATCAGGAGGACTGCTGGGAGTTGCAGTCCAAGAACAGGTAGAGAAGGACGAAAGGGGAGAAAGAGGAAGGGAAAGAAAAGGGGGGGGGGGAAGGGAAGAGGAAGAAGGAGAGAGGGAAATTAAAAAAGGGAAGGAAAGAAAGAAGGAGAGAAAGAGGGAGGGAAGGTCGGCCACAGCAACACAGCTAATAAACTATAAAATCGACTGGGTTCCTTTGTTATTCCCTTTCTTTCCAACTTAACTTTTCTCAGAAGGTTGTGACTAAGTTCAAGTGGGGAGGACGACATCCATGAGTGTGGCCTCCACTTTGTTGGAGGAAAGGCAGCATGTAAATGTCAGCAGGAAACAAAACATTAACTCAGTTACGTTGACATATTATTTGGATTACAACAGTAGCCAACCTGAAGTTCACGTAAATAAAGCAACCTGATGCCCTACAGAAGTTCACATAAGCGAACCATGAGAACTGGTTCTGAAATTAGATTTCCAACACTCCAAAGCACAGGCGCAGCTGCTAAAAGAAATACGAGGATTGAATGAAAAGTAATGCCTCCACCTTTGTAACTCCTCAACAGATGGCAGTACTGGTATGTGGCAGGTACTGGCTTGTTCGGTAGACTCTCCTCTACAGTTCCATTTTGGCGGGAAGCCTTAGCATTGAATGGTTGTGTTGTTAAAGTGCAAAGTATGGAACCCTGTGCAGACGGTCGGTCAATGCGACTTAAGCAATGGGCAGTCACTGAATTCTTGACAACAGAAGGTGTCACCCCAAAGGAGATTCATCAGAGAATGCAAGCTGTTTATTGTGATTGTGTTGGTGTGAGTACTGTGCGTCGTTGGGCAAGTAAGTTTAAAGATGTTGAGGTGGGAACATCTGACTTGCATGACAAACAAAGAGTTGGACGTCCTGTGACAGCAACCACCGAGTTTCACAAGCAAAAGGTTGACAGATTGATTCAGGATGATCATCGTATCACTCAAAGAAAAGTTTCAAGCATAATGGGCATTTCACAAGAACATGTTGGTCACATTATTGCTTTGTTTGGCTATAGGAAAATCTGTGCATGGTGGATTGTGGAAAAAGAGTGTGGACTTCTTCCGTGACAGCTTCAGAAAACTTGTTCATCATTGGAAGAAATTTTTTTTTTGGTTGTGTCAGGAGCAAGTTGCTTCTGGTGTGAGAGAATTGGCCGTCTGCAAGGACATTACCCAGGGGACGCCTGGATGATTTGATGTTTTTATCATCCTTGTGGGAGACTTCTCTCATGTCCCCGCATGAAGAGCTGGAGCTGATAGAGGGAGCTCATCTGCCTCTCCCCAGATTTGAACCTGCGACCTGTCGGTCTTCAGTCCTGCCGGCACAGGGGTTTAACCCACTGCGCCACCGGGGACTCCATTGGAAGAAATGTATCCAATTGTCTGGTGATTATGTGGGAAAGTGAATAGTGGTAGTTCAAGAGCACATTCTAAGGATTATTTCTGCATTTGATTTATTAAAATATTCCCATCCAAACTCAAGTAACAAAGGTGGAGGCATTACTTTTCATTCAACCCTCGCAATTTGAGTTTCTGGGGGAAAAAACCCATATGCAGAAGAAGAAAACATATGGACTGGATAAAAAAAATCATTCTGAAGTCTCCTTTGCACAGAAACTAAATGTAGGAATCTAGAACAGAAAAAGAAAGTGATAATTAATGACAGCAGGGATGAAGGTGGTACCTGTTGATGCCTTTGATGTTATTGGACCCTCATAAAGCCCATTGGGTTTCTCGCCATATAACTGCAGTTCGTAGTCGGTTCTAGGGCTCAAGCCCGTCACGTTGACACTTCTCTTTGTCCCCGGTAGTCGGATTTCGCCAGGTGTGGCATTGGACTTGGGATCCCTATACTGGAGGGAAAAGCCCTGGAAGGAACGAGGTGGGGCTGACCACGTCACATAGAGACTGTTTGGAGAGACCTCTGTCACCGCGAGGTCCTTCAAGGACACGACTGGGCTTCGGGTGGTACTCAGGACAGGCTGGGTCTTGGCAGCGGTTGGTGAAGCCGGAGCTAAAGGAAGATTGATGTGGAATCAGAAAATAAAAATCCCTTTTCCAGAGGCCTCAAACTCTCAGTCACCATTTTCACCCACCCAGCATCAATTTAATTCTTGACTACTGCAATGTATTTTGTGGGGGGCTGCCCTGGGAGGCTGTATGATCTGACACAATATACTGTGCTAGAAAGGCAATGATGTGTTGCACACATTTAGAATTTGGCAACACTTTCATTCTGAATTTCGAAATTGTATAATCCCTCCCTAACTCTTATTTTATATAGGATGGCCTAGGCATTAATATTGGCCTTGAATATTTATTTATTTTCCATTATTCTTCTCCACATTGTATGTGGAGTCCTTATTATATCCATGGTATCTGCATACATAATATCATCTATACATGCCATGAAAACAATGACAAAGGCTGGACCTACAATGTCATATAAAAACCAGATTATCTGATTTGAATTGGATTATACGGCAGTGTAGATCCAGGCCTCTTCTACACTGCCATATCATATTTATACTACATGTAATATTACTAATAATATTACAATATAATGGTATAATACAATATTACTGATATTGTACTATGCTAATAATATAATATATTGTATGTATATATATCTTGTAAGGTGCCCTGAGTCGCCTTCAGTCTGATATGGGCGGGATACAAATGTTGCAAATAAATAAATATCAAAACCAGATTATCTGCTTTGGCAGTGTACTCATATAATCCAGTTCAAAACAAATAATGTGGATTATATGCTTTGATTATCTGGATTGTATGGCAGTGTAGAAGGATTCTCATATAATCCAGTTCAAAGCAGATAATATGGATTATCTGTGTCGATAATTTGCATTAAAGGGCATTGTAGATCCAGGCCTCTTCTACACTGCCATATCAAATCCAGATTATCTGATTTCAACTGGATTATTTGGTAACGTAGACTCATATAATCCAGTCCAAAACAGATAATGTGGATGATATGCTTTGATTATCTGGATTGTATGGCAGTGTAGAAGGGGCCTCAGATAATCCATTTCAATTCAGATAATGTGGTTTATCTGCATCAATAATCTGGATTATATGGCAGTGTAGATCCAGCCTTAGTGAATACCTACTTAGGAACCAAGGAAAAATATCAAGATCGGTTCAGTATGGCCCCTTCTACACTGCCATATAACATCCTGATTATCAGCTCTGATAATATCATACGAAAGCTGACTGGCACGACCTGGGGATCACAACCAGACACAGTGAAGACATCTGCTCTAGCGCTACTCTGCTGCTGAGTATGCATGGCCAGTGTGGAATACATCTCACCACGCTAAAACAGTAGATGTGGCTCTTAATGAAACATGCTGCATTATCACAGGGTGTCTGCGCCCTACACCAATGGAGAAATTACTCTGTTTAGCCGGTATTGCACCACCTGACATCTGCCGGGAAGAAGCAACCAATAGTCAAAGGACCAAGGCAGTGACATCTCCAGCTCATCCCCTGTTTGGATATCAGCCAGCACGTCAATGACTTAAATAAAGAAATTGTTTTCTAAGACCTACAGAGAAAATCGCTGGAACACCTCAGCAAGCGAGAGTCCAAAAGTGGCAGGCTCAGACCCAGAACCTCACGCAATGGCTGATACCAGATGAGAGACTCCCCCCTGGGCACACAGAAGACTAGACGACTTGGAAGGCGCTGAACAGACTGCGCTCTGGCACCACGAAATGCAGAGCCAACCTTCAGAGATGGGGCTACAAAGTGGAATCCACGACATGTGAGTGTGGAGAAGAGCAAACCACTGACCACCTGCTGCAATGCACCCTGAGCCCTGCCCCATGCACAATGGAGGACCTTCTTGTGGCAACACCAGAGGCACTCCAAGTGGCCAGATACTGGTCAAAGGACATCTAATCAACTACCAAGCTTGCAAACTTTGTGTTTTGTTTGTTTGTTTGTTAAAAAATGCAATGCAACTGTTTGGTCTGCCCCTGACATGATAAATAAATAAATCAGCTCTGATCTGGTTTATATGGCAGTGTAGACACATCTAATGCAGTTCAAATCAGATAATCTGTATTATTTGATAATCTGGATTATCTGGCAGTGTAGATCCATCCTAAGACTCCTGTAACACTGGGATCCATATCCATGGTTTCACTGGGGGGTGAGATTTCAATTTTTTTAACTTTCACTGTGATCCCGCATCTCAATTCAACGGTGTGACCCATGACATCACTGAACTAAACAAAGCCTATTTAGAGGGAAGGTAATGATTCCTAAATCACATTGCCCTGAATGTACACCTATTTCAAATCTTCTAACAAGAGGCAACTGTAAAGAATAGCTGGACGGTTTCTGAAGTTCAATTGAGAAATGGGCAAAATAATAATAATTAAAGTGAGCTGTGTTGACGGGGTGTAGAAGAGAAGCCAACATTGCTGCAAAAGTAATGGGAGAAAAACGTATCATAGCCACACAGAAGCAACATGAAGGCAAAAGCTGGGAGCACGGCTTTTCCTAGAAGAAGAGTAAAGGCATTAAATGTTGATGGAGCCAAGAGACGACTGTAGCTTTAAAAAAGAAGGTGAAGATTATGTGTCAGAAAAGGAATCAGCGTCACTGAAACAAACATTTCATGGAAGGTTAGCACTGAACGCAATTTCAAGGGTGAATATTTTGAAATATAATTGGTGCTTTTTTGGAAAGAAAAAAAGACCTTTGGCTCTAACTAATAAATACGTCATCGTGGTAAACATTTGACGAAGCTTTTAGATAAATATTGAGCACTTGGCATTTGAATGCTATCTAACGAAATCATTTGCATATCATCCATCGTAGGGATACAGAAATCTTCATGAAGTGCCTTTGAGGCAAATGTTATCTTAAGGAAAGCAATTAAGCATTCTACAGTTATTTTAATTTGTTTACTAAAGTCGTTATGCCTTCTGTCATCTACAACTATGTTTGCTTAGAGCTTTAAAATAATCGATCAAGAATAATGAGTCAGATTAATTATTAGAACAACTAATTACTTGGGGGGCCCTGGTGCAGTCAGTTAAACCGCTGAGCTGTTGAATTTGCTGACTGAAAGATTGGCGGTTTGAATCTGGGGAGCAGGGTGAGCTCCTGCTGTTAGCCCCAGCTTCTGCCAACCTAGCAGTTCGAAAACATGGAAATGTGAGTAGAGCAATAGGTACCACTCCTGCAGGAAGGTAACGGTGTTCCATGCAGTGATGTTGGCCACATGACCTTGGAGGCATCTATGGACAATGCCAGCTCTTCGACTTAGAAGTGGAGATGAGCATCACCGCCCAGAGTCAGATACGACTAGACTTAATATCAAGGGGAAACCTTTACCTTTACCTTAATTACTTGGGCCAGGTTTTTAGCACAGGAGGTGCTGGCAAAATGATCAAGGAGGATTGTATTGTCGAAGGCTTTCATGGCTGGAATCACTGGGTTGTAGGTTTTTTCGGGCTATATGGCCATGGTCTAGAGGCATTCTCTCCTGACGATTCGCCTGTATCTATGGCAAGCATCCTCACTACCACTGAGGATGCTTCCCATAGATGCAGGTGAAACGTCATGAGAGAATGCCTCTAGACCATGGCCATATAGCCCGAAAAAACCTACAACAACCCAGATCAAGGAGGAAGTTTACGAACAAAGCTCTTTGGCAGGGAAGATGCAGCAACAGCACCCCTGTGGCCGGAACCAAGCACAACCTCCAAGATGCTGAAGATGGGAAAGGCTACATATACCTCTATCTATGTACAGCTGTCTGTTTTGTTAGTGTATAACGGCACTGAATGTTTGCTGTATATGTGTTCTGTGATCCGCTCTGAGTTCCCTTCGGAGTGAGAAATGCAGAATATAAATATTGTAAATAAAATAATAAATAAACCACTTGTACACATTGCTGGGTTTAACTTTTGTGGATTTGATCATTCAGTGATTTTGATTTAAAATATAGTAGAGTTTCTATTTGTGGTTTTTTACTTTCATGAGAGTCCTAATCCTAAATCCAACAAAAATGGTCGGCTGATTGTGAGCACTTATTTTTGGAATAAGTAAGATATCATTAAGTTGCACTGCATCTGTAATATAAGAAAGGATGAGCCTCCTTTTGCAGTGTAATTATAATTCTTTTCAATGTTATTTTTACAGTTGCAGTATATGTTTGGTTTCAATATTTTATTGTCTCTTCTACTACAGGCCAATGACTTATATTATTCGTATGTTTATGTGTGTGTATACATATATTCTAATCACTATTCTACCTGCATTTGGATAAGGACTGGTTTATAGCACAGCTGATTGAGAATCAGCTACATTAAAATCACTACTGCCCAAGAGATCATAAGTTTGAAGCCATCACGGGTTGGAGTGAGCTTCCAGCCATTTGTCTAGCTTGCTGTCAACCTTTGCAGCCCGAAAGACAGTTGCATCTGTCAAGTAGGAAATGTAGATAACGCTTATGCGGGGAGACTAATTAAACTAATTTATGACACCATAAAACTCTCCAGCAGTGTGCAAAAGAATGAGGAAGTATTCCATCAGTGTCACAAGTGGATGGTGAAGTGACAGCTCCCTGGTGGCCGGAATTTAAAAAGCATACCCTCATGAAGCTGGAAAGTTAAATAGCCTCTGTGTCTCTGTCTATATATATTGTGTGTCTATGGCATTGAATATTTGCTCTGAGTCCCCTACGGGGAGAGATGGGTGGAATATAAATACTGTAAATAAATAAATAATGGTAAATAACAGGAAAGAAAAAGCTATTTTACAGGCTGTAAATATAACTAAAATTTGTGACACGATGTGTGTAGACTGAATGATGAAAAAAGAGAAGGTCCCACTATCTTAACCAGCCATATGGGTAATTTAGGATTTGGGACTATTTTCAACCATTGCTTATTTAACTTTTCAAGCTCTCTGGTTTTTGCAAGCAGTGTTAGCAGAAATACAGTTCCGTTTTGTGAGCATGAGAATGGGCCTTGAGGTTTCTGCTCCAAACCTCCAAATTTAGCTTGGAAATGTTCAAGTGGACTCTAATCTGCAAAGAAAAGACCTGAAGGCAAAGACATCAAGCTGCAGACAGTGACTTGTAGCAAAACAGCACACTGAACAAACTGTGAATGTGGTTGTGTTATTTGGCTTGAAGAAGACAACAAGAAGCTATCACAGACCGACATCTGTGTGAAGGACAAAACAGGTGAGCAACACAGCAACATTTTTTCTAAAAGGACGCTGGTGTCCACGACTTCCTGGAGAATACGAAAGCAGTGTGTGGTTAGAGTACATGGCTAGTGATGTTTGGATGCAACACTGGCTCCATTTGCCGGCAACATGGATGAAGCAGGTGATTGATACAAAGGAGAGAACAAACCACCCTAGAAGACATACGTTCTACCAACCCTGGTACCTGTGGCAGTTATAAAGGAATACGACTTGGAAGAGTGGCCTTTCACAATGCCATGGATTTCCACCTGGTAGGTCGTGCCCGGAGCCAACCCAGTGACGATTGCTTTGGAAGCATCTCCTGGAACGATGACTTCTCCTCCTTCTCCGCTCCTCATATCTCGGAATCGGATAATCACTTTTTCAGAGACTCCCCTCACACCATCCAGCAACACCTCCATACTTTCTGGAGAACTGGCAATCACCGATGGTTTGGCATGGTCTGAACGGATGTATCCATCTGAGTAGACACTATCAGTTTCCCCTATAGGAAACTCCCTTGTGGGGAAGGAGCTGTTTGTCTCTTTCACCAGGCGTTCCCTGACCCTGTCTTGGAACTCTTTTGGCTTCCAGCGGATGAGGTAGATGTAGATGTCCCTGGCCACATTTTCTATGGTGCGGTTGCCCTGGACAGGAAAGTTCGTGGCACGGAGATAACTCTCCAAACGTTCCAGGAGAGTTCCATTGTACGGTGAAAGCTTGCTTGAGATATTCTGGGTAATTTTCTTCAAAAAGAGCTCCTTAGTCACTAAGGTGGTGTGGCGATCTGGTGGAATTGAAGATTCAGAACTGGTAGAAGAAGTGCCAGGTCTTACATTTGGAGGTTCAGGTTGGGTGCCAGGTCTTACATTTGGAGGTTGAGGACGAGTAGAAGAAATGTCAGGTCTCACATCTGGAGGTTGAGGACGTGTAGAAGAAATGTCAGGTCTCACATTTGGAGGTTCGGGATAGGTAGAAGAAGTGCCAGGTCTTGCATTTGGAGGTTCTGGATGGGTGGAAGAAGTACCAGGTCTTACATTTGGAGAATCAGGATGGATAGAAGAAGTGTCAGGTCTCACATTTGGAGGTTTGGGATAGGTAGAAGAAGTGCCAGGTCTTGCATTTGGAGGTTGAGGACGTGTAGAAGAAGTGTCAGGTCTTACTTTTGGAGGTTTTGGATGGGTGGAAGAAGTACCAGGTCTTACATTTGGAGAATCAGGATGGGTAGAAGAAGTATCAGGTCTTACATTTGGAGGTTCTGGATGGGTGGAAGAAGTACCAGGTCTTACATTTGGAGAATCAGGATGGATAGAAGAAGTGTCAGGTCTCACATTTGAAGGTTCCAGATGAGTAGAAGAAGCGCCAGGTCTTACATTTGGAGGTTTTGGATGAGTGGAAGAAGTGTCAGGTCTTACATTTGAAGATTCAGGATGAGTAGAAGTGCCAGGTCTTACATTTGGAGGTTCAGGACGGGTAGAAGAAGTGCCAGGTCTTACATTTGGAGATTCAGGATGGGTAGAAGTTCCAGGTCTTACATTTGGAGGTTCAGGACGGGTAGAAGAAGTGCCAGGTCTTACATTTGAAGATTCAGGATGGGTAGAAGAAGTTCCAGGTCTTATATTTGGAGATTCAGGATGGGTAGAAGAAGTGCCAGGTCTTAAATGGGAAGAAGGGGATGGTGTTGAATACTGGTGGGCTGGTTGCCTCACAGGTGGTGCTAGTGGGATCAAAAATGGATGTGATTACATGAGAGGAATGAGCAGAAACAAACAGTGGAGGAAGGATTTGAAGTAAGTGGAGAGAACTTAGCTTTAGTCTTTCCCCCCATTTTCTTACCACCTTCAGTCTAGCTAGTACTAGACTGAGCATCCCAATAGGAAAACAGATATATTCCCACTATCCCATTCTCTGCTACTTTTGTGGGTTTTCCCATTAACTGTAATAAAAAAGATTGAGTTAGTCTTGACCATTATCACATAATACTCTCATGGCTCCTCAATGTACAGGTTGAGTATTTCTTATCCAAAATATTTTGGACCAGGAGTGTTTTGGGTTTTTGAATATCTCTATTTGCATATGCATACATAATATGATTATTGGAGGTGGGACCCAAGTATAAGGACTTCATCACATTGAAGCAGGGACGTGTTTGGTAGTGTAGAGCTCAGTCTTACTTAGTTTTGAAATGAAATGGATAATTTCGCTCCCTTCATCACACTGTGTATCTGTGTTATTCATCTATACTCAGCCTTCTTTCAGTAGATTTGCCGCTACACTGTAATCTCTAGGGACTTCGTCACATTGAAACAGGGAAGTGTTTGGTAAAGTTGAGCTCAGTCATACATGGTTTTGAAATGAAACATATTATTTCCCTACCTTCATCACACTGTTAAATGTATCTGTGTTACTCAGTTGTACTCAGCATTCTTTCAGCAGATTTGCCATCACACTGTAATTGCTAGGCACCGCACACCATCCCTCCCCCATGTTCTTTGTGGGGAAAAACTCTCCTCTCTTTGAAATGTCAGCTGTTACGTGTCTTCAGTTCTGCAAGCAAAGAAGCAGGGAGGGACGGAGGGAAAGGGGCAATGCTCTCTCTCTCTCTCTCTCTCTCTCTCTCTCTGCTGCTCCACAGAGAAGGGTGTAGACCTTGGAAAACTATAACTGCCATGACTGCGTAGTATAGTGCTGTGGTATTTAAAGTACAGTCCAGCTGTATTCCTTTCACAGTGTAGATGCACCCAGATAAGGTTCATGGACCCTGGGAAACTGCTATTCCCAAGACCATCTTATGGACAAACGGCATTTAAAGTAACGTCCAACTACATTCATTCCACAGTGTAGATGCACCCAGAGAAGGGTATGGACCTTGGGAAACTATAACTTCCAGCACTGCACAGTATGGAGCCATGGTATTTAAAGTGGGGTCCAAGAGCATTCATTCCACAGTGTAATTGCACCCAGAGAAAGGTATGGGCCTTGGGAAACTATAACTCCCAGGACTGCACAGCATGGAGAAATGGCATAATAATAGTAATAATCCTTCTCTCCCAGCTTTCCTATGCAACAGAAGGCACAGACATATCAAGGAAGGGAAGGAAAGAAACTTGAAAAGCTATTTTCAAAAAACTGTTCTGGCAAAGTAAAAACTTGGTAAGCAAAAGGTAATGGTTTCCCTAACAAGGGTACTTTTGGCTCCTCCCACAATTTCCCCTCCCACAAATTTAAACCTGGGAGCAACTAATGCCATCACATTATAGAATTGGCCAAACATCCGGATCATTACCAAAAATACACTTCTCTGCCAGCTCCTGAAACATTTGAAAAGAATGCTGGTCCCCATGCTTAAAATACGCAAAGAATGCTCTATCCTACACTTGAACCCAACCTAATGTGATGAACACAGTGGCTTACCACATTTTAAATGTAGTACGCAGTATAATTTAGTAAATGTGATGAAGTGGTAAATATGGAATTCATTGATATTTCCTAAATATCTTATACACAAAGCCTGAAGGTAATTTTGAACACAATATTTTATACAAAATATTGTGTTGCCAATATGCTGAGAAAGGTGGTATACAAATATAGTAAATAAATAAATAATAAATAAATGTCCTCTACGCAAAACTACAATGTTGCACATGAACATTGGGTGGGTGTGTCCTGAACCATCAGAATGCAAAGATGTCACTATGTCAACCACTCATGTGGACAATTTTGGATTTGGGAGTAATTAAGATTTTGGAATTCTGGATAAGAGATGCTCAACCTGTATACCTTTTCTTCATAGACCTGTGGGTAAGAAACAGAAGACACAAATAAATTATGAGTGAGGTGAAGAGTCCAGCATCTTGAGTCCAGAAGCTACTGCAGCTTTGGGAAAAAAGAGGGAAAGAAAATATTATGGGTAGAAAGGAGAACGGCGATCGAAAACCTGTAAAAAATAACCAACGTAAACAATTTCTACTCCATTTCCATCTGGTTACACCTTCAAACTGTATTCTCTGTAACAGGAATGGTTCACTGTAAGGAGACATTGGTTAGTGGCACTTTTCTAACATAGCTGCTCCCTCTAAAATCCAATCCAATCTAATCAAAATGTTTGACACCCCAATGCTCTTTGCAGTGTGTTTTGACATTTTCATCATGTTTTGATGACTTCCTGGGCTATCCATATTGATAGGAAGTAACCTCCTCGTTCTCATGAGACATCTCCTGAGCATAGATTAGACCAGAGGCCACCAAATGTGGCAGAAATGCCACCCTTGGTGATCTCAACCCTTAATGAATATTTTCAAAATTAAATTTTCTAATCCCAGAGAGCAGGGATGGACAAATGTGTCCCATTTACTACACATTTTTTGACTCCCCTCCCACATATCTCACAGACATAGTCCAGATTAATGTATTGTCGAAGGCTTTCATGTCCGGAATCACTGGGTTGTTGTAGTTTTTTGGGGCTGTATGGCCATATTCTAGAAGCATTTTCTCCTTACATTTTGCCTGCATCTATGGCAGGCATCCTCAGAGGTTGTGAGGTCTGTTGGAAACTAGGAAAATTTGTCTACCAGTATTTTAAAAAACTCTAAAATTGTAACAGTAAATAAAGAACAAAACTCAAACACAGGGGAACTCCAGACAAGAAACAATTAGGAGCAGCTAATCACCTCTCAACAAAGAGTTCCCCCAGGCAGCAACAGGGCACACCTAAAAACTGTCAGGCAATCAAATGCTAATCAAGGTGGCCTATTGAAACACTCACACCTAGTTCCAACAGACAAGAGTTCTTTCTCCCACCCTGGACTTTGTACAGATATATAAACCCCATTTTCCTAGTTTCCAACAGACCCTCTGAGGATGCCTGCCATAGATGCAGGTGAAACGTCAGGACAGAATGCTTCTCGAACATGGCCATATAGCCCAAAAAACCTACAACAACCCATAATCCAGATTGCCATGGTGCCCCACTACAAAGAACTTTGAGATCTGTAATGTCCTGAATACTTTGGGTACTTTCTTTAAGGGACAAACTAAAATCTAGAACCATTGTCTCATTGACCTGTGACCACCAACTCTCATTGGGTTTGTGGTTTTGTGCCTATTGAACAATCTCTGTCCCAGTGCCCTACCAGTGGTGCTGGTGACGATAGTGGTGGCTCGGCTGCTCTCACCGCTCTGGCGAGCGACCAAAGTGATGCGATACCGGGTGTTGCTTTCCAGTTCTTCCAAGGTGACCGTTTCAGGTGTCGGTGGAAGCTCCACACGTTTTGTGGCTTGGGCAGGCCGGGCAGCAACCACGGGCACGTAGCTGAGGATGTATCCCTCACAGTGAGAGGCAGGTGGTTCCCACTGCAAAGTCACTGAGTTTTCTGTCACCTGTGACGACCGCAGGCCACGGGGAGGAGCCACACCTGAGTAGGAGAATGAGAGATAGAAGGTGTTGAAATGGGGAATAGAGTGAGACAATTATCCCACCACTTATCTCTATTCCACCACTTTTTAAATTATGCATATACATTAATTTTCCCCAGTATATATTATATTGCAGTATAGCAACAAATCACAATCTAGAACTACACCATAACAGTTAAAACAGTGTCAAATTTCTGATATTCCTGATGGTGGGTCTGGGTCTGCTGCCATTGGGGATGAAGGTTCACTGAGCCCTTGAGTTAAGTTCAGATGAAAGGCCCAAGCTGTCTCCCGAAGATTCACAAGGCTGAATTCTTGGGAGAGGCCCTGCACAGCTTTTCTCAGAGCAACTCTCTGAAGATGAAGATGTCAGGTGCAGAAGCTAGTGATGGAGAAGATAATGAAAGCTTAGATAGAAAGCAGAGTCTTCAGAGACTGAGTTCATCTACAGCAAAAGAGAGATAACAAACCTTTATCTGGTGGAAAGGTCAAGATAAATGCTTTCTCTTCTGTTTTTGGATCTGAGAAAGCCTTATAATGATTCATGGGAGAAAATTGTCTCAGTCAAGTCAACACTGGAATTTGATAACGGTCATGCTTCCAAGTGCTCTTAGTTTCATGTACCAAGTTTTTGCCAAGCTTTAGAATTGTCTATGGGATTTTGCTATTGTCATGTTCCATGGATTCATGCCTAGTTTCATGGATTTTTATGCATTTATGGATCTTTTTTTCCCTTGAAGTTTATGGACTATTTTCTATATAATGGACCTTTATTGTTGTTGCTATTTTTACTGCTTTACCTACATATTTTCTTCAATAAACTGCTTGCTGATTTTACCAAGCTGGTGTGGTGTTTAAGGTCAGAGGTGTTCCTGCTCTGAAGTACAACAAGGTTTTTGCTTCGTGACTCATGATTTTAAAGCTGTTTTAACATCATTCAAGTCATTGAATCTGAAACCACATAGGTTGTCTTTCAGAAGTCCAAACAGGTAAAAGTCAGAAGGGGCCAAATCATAAACATTCTTCAAGTGATGATGGATTTCCTTAGGTGAACCACCTTCTTTTGCCAGAAATTCAGTGATGACTTTTTCCTTTAGCTTCAGATTTATGGTTCTAATCAGTCAATCAGAAAAAGAAAGGACTATATCAGTAGAGTAAGGTTACTTCTATCATCTCATGCATAGATAGCCCAGTAGCTGTGAAAGACATAAAAGTTAGAGCAATGGAGGCATTACTTGTTGACCGACCCTTTCTGGATATAACAGCAGGAGCACACAATGTAGGAGGAAGGGATGGTGAAGTGGACTTCTAAGTACACATTGTGCTTTTAAGAGTCAACCATATTTCAGGCTGATCGAAACATAAGGAGTGCTTTGAATGCATCGTCTGTCAATGAAGGACTGTGTTCAAAACAGCATGGAAAATGATTCCACAGACATGTTGAGAAGGTTAGCAAGAAGAAAGCAGAGATCACAGAAGTACAGACAGAGAAAGGGAAGAATATGTGTACACATGATCTCTTGTTGATTCAAATGACATACGTGTTTGCACGGTCTGGGAGACAGGGGGTCCATAGCGCTGCCCTTTTTCCGCCCGGATGGTGACAGTATATTCTTCTCCAGATGTTAGTCCTCTGCGTTCAAAGGCAGTCTCAGTACCAGACAAGCGCACAGATTCACCTGCTCGGGGATTTTTCTGAATGTTGAGAGGAAGAGGAGGAGGGGTGCAAAATGAATTCAGAGTAAGTCTGAATGGCCTGCCTCAGGGGAGTGTGCTTTCTCCATTAATGTTTAATATTTACACAAATGATCAGTCACTGCCAGAAGTGACAGAAAGTTTTGTCTATGCTGACGATCATGCCATCACCGCTTAAACAGAGAGCTTTGAAATGGTTGAACAGAAGCTCTCCAAAGCTTTAGGTGCTCTTATTGCCTATTAAAGGGAAAGATTCCTAATTCATCTAAAATGCAGATGTGTGCTTTTTCACCTTAAGAACAGACAAGTATCTTGAACTCTGAGGATGACCTGGGAAGAAATCCCACTGGAGCATTACAGCACACCCAAATACCTGGGAGTCATTCTGGACTGTGCTCTGACTTATAAGAAACACTGTCTGAATATCAAACAAAAAGTGGAAATAATATTATACGAGAGTTGACTGGCACCACCAGGGACCACAACCAGACACAGTGAAGAAATCTGCCCTTGCGCTTTGCTACTTGCTGTTGAATACACATGCCCAGTGTGGAACACTTCTCACAACATTATGGATCCACGGGTCATATTAAAATGCATAAATTTGGCATCAGAACCTTTCCTTGACTTATACATGTGGTTGACTTATAAATGAGTTTATACAGTAACTACTCTGGTCTTGCCTCTTCCTAAGCAGACAGTACTGTTGACATTTTTCTACATTCAGTGCTTGGAGCTTACACCCATTTGCAATTCAAAAAGCAGAAATATGCATCCTCTGAAATATGCATCCTCAACATAGCCGTTCAAAAACATGCAAATGTGAGTAGATCAATAGGTCTCCAGCGGGAAGGTAACAGCGCTCCATGCAGTCATGCAGGCCACATGACATCTCCGGACAACACCGGCTCTTCGGCTTAGAAATGAAGATGAGCACCACCCCCCAGACTCGGACATAACTAGACTTAATGGCAAGGGGAAAACTTTACCTCTTAGATGGAGGATGTTGGTTTTGTTTGTTTGTTTGTTTTGGCGCATTAGAGGGGAGTGCCAGGGTTTCCATCTGAACATGAGGAAGAACTTCCTGACTGTGAGAGCCGTTAAGCAGTGGAACTCTCTGCCCCAGAGTGTGGTGGAGGCTCCGTCTTTGGAGGCTTTTAAACAGAGGCTGGATGGCCATCTGTCAGGGCTGATTTGAATGCAATATTCCTGCTTCTTGGCAGGGGGTTGGATTGGATGGCCCATGAGGTCTCTTCCAACTCTTTGATTCTATGATTCTTTCTTGCCAAAGGAAAAAAAAGTCATAGTGCTTGAATATGTGAATATTGGGTGTGTGTGTGTGTGTGTGTGTGCATGCCTTTAAGCCGCCTATTAATGTATGGCAACCCCTTGAATTTTATGGGGTTTTCTTAGGTTAGGAGTACTTAGAAATGCTTTTGCCAGTCCTTCCTTTAAAATATAACACAAAGCACACAGTATTCATTGGTAGTCACCCACCTAAGTATTAACCAGAATTGATGCTGCTAACTTCCAAAATCAGATGGGAACCACCCTCTTATTTGTTAATATCCAATGATTAATTTGTTTTTAAAATTCATTAATGAGGATTTATTTACCATCCCTAGCAGAAACAAAGACCACCAGCATTAAAACAATGGTTCTCCGCCAGCAACTTTGCTGGACTGGCCACATTGCCCAAATGCCCCATCACTGTCTCCCAAAGCAGTTACTTTACTTTCAGTTCAAGAATAGAAAATGGAATGCCAGTGGACAAGCCAGAGGTTTAAAGTTGACCTTAACCCTAATATTAAAAATGTGGAATAAACACTGCGAAATAGGAAGCCCTGGCACTTGAGTGGGCTAACTGGAGATCAGATGTTACCAACAGTATTATGGATTTTTAAGAAGCATGAATAGAGGGCGAAAGGGAGACATGTGCCAAGAGGATGGCATGGCAAGGAAACCCTTCTTGAGGCACATGTATTGCCACAATTGCCATCCTTTCCCATCCTACCCTCCTGTGACGGCGCGTCTGGCCCCGCTTGTATATGAATGTACAGTTGAATTGTTTGGCTATCTCTACTGCTTTCTATCAGTGTTGTTTTGCACCAGTTGAATTGCTCCCCCAGCTCAATTGTTTGGCACCAGCCCTTCCTGGGGAAGAGGGCAGTGCTTTCTTTTCATTCCACCATCAAACAACTCAGCAGATGGATGTGAGAAAGACTTGGCTCTAAAGCCCTTAGTCAAGTCATCTTAATTCTTAAGTTTGTACTCTTAAGATTCATTCTTCATATCCAGCTCACCTGGACGACGTTGCGGAATTTTAAGCGCCTTCAAACCAGCCCTTTGGCATCAAGAGGAAGACTTTGTGCCTTCAATATAGGTCATTTGGACTGGGGTTGTGAGTGTTCCGACTTTCACAGCCATTGAGAAAGAGGGAACTTGGAAAGCTTCTCAGCTGGAAAACTCCTTGGACCCAAGACTCCAAAGACTGTAATGTATGTTTTCTTTACCCCTTTTGAATATCAAGTTTATGCCTAAGGAAGATAACTCATTGTGAACAATAAAGACTATTTCGAGTCATCTACAGTGTCTTGATCCTTGAGAGTTCCACTTCTCTAAAGGAGAGCAAGAAGCATTCCCCTGGGGGGGGGGGGAATGCCACGTCCATGTTTCTTTCACTAAGATCTATAGCCCCCAGGCACGATGGCATATCTCCCTCCCCCCCATCATATTACCCTTTGCAACAGGTGTATGGTTACCTTGGGTACCAGGTGGATCTCATAGGCATCCACAGGAATCTGCGGCCGGTTCCACTCTAGCCGGAAAGATGTTTCATCTCGATTAGACACACGGACACCAATGGATGGAATCTCTGTTTCAGTCAGGAGACGGAAGACCGCATGCAGAAAGACAGAAGATAAAATAGAGCAATAAAACAACCTTCCTATACTCTGCTTGTTGCTTATGTTGTCCCAAAAGGATGATCGCGGTGCCCATCTCAAGAAGGCTATCCAAGATATCTGGATATCTGACACAGAACAGCAAACACTCCCCTCCACTCCCAGTCAAAATACACGGCCATGGCACACAAAAATATTTATGGTTCCCCCTCCACATTTGGGGATGGAACAATGGTTTCAAACTACAAGAAAGGAGATTCCATCTGAACATGAGGAAGAACTTCCTGACTGTGAGAGCCGTTCAGCAGTGGAACTCTTTGCCCCGGAGTGTGGTGGAGGCTCCTTCTTTGGAAGCTTTTAAATCACCCCTGACAGAATGGCCATCTGTCAGGGGTGATTTGAATGCAATTTTCCTGCTTCTTGGCAGGGGGTTGGACTGGATGGCCCATGAGGTCTCTTCCAACTCTTTGATTCTATGATTCTATAATTTTGCAGTTATAATTATTTGCAGATTTGAATACTATGTTCTCCCTAGGAACCTCTAGGTCCTACATTGCATCTCCATGGCCATGCTGGACATATGAAAATATAGACATATGAACATGGAGTCATGTTGATAAGCGACATTCTTAGGCAAAATACTTCCCTAGGCATTTGTAAGTTCTGTAGCATGATTATATGATCAACCTCCAGTTTGATCTGGCATCAGCACTCTTTGGCACAAAAGGCTAAAGACCTTGTAAAACTACAACTCCCAGAATGTGTTTAAATTCTATTATATATGGGGCTGCGGAGGTGCAACAGGTTAAACCGTTGAGTTGCTGAACTTGCTGACTGGAAGGTTGTTGGTTCGAATCCACAGGATGGGGTGAGCTCCCACTGTTAGCCCCAGCTCCTGCCAACCTTGCAGGAGTAGATCAATCGGTGATCTACCTCGGCAGGAAGATAAATGGTGCTCCATGCAGTCATGCTGGCCACATGACCTAGGAGGTGTCTATGGACAACTCCAACTCTTCAACTTAGAAATGGAGATGAGCACCACCTCCAGAGCCAGACGAAGGGGAAGCCTTTACCTTTATCTGTGTATCTGTGTTTCATTGTTTTGAGGTATTGAGTGTTTACCTTGTTTACCAGATATGAAACAAACAAGGACATCTAATTATCTCTCAACAAAAGATTGCTCCAGGCACTGCCAGGCAATTAAATGCTAATCAAGGTGATCAGTTGAAACATTCACACCTAGCTCCAGAAGACAAGAGTCCTTTGTCCCACCCTGGTCATTCTACTGATATATAAGCCCTTTTTCCTAGTTCCAACAGACCTCACTGCCTCTAAGGATGCTTGCCATAGATGCAGGCGAAATGTCAGGAGAGAATGCCTTTAGAACATGGCCATATAGCCCGAAAAAACCTACAACAACCCAGTGATTCCGGTCATGAAAGCCTTCAACAATACATTGTTTACCTTGTGTCTGTATATGCTGGAATCCACCCTGAGTCCCCTTGGGGAGATAGGGCGGAATACAAATAAAGGGTTGTTGTTGTTTAAAGTGAGGAACAACAACCATTAGGTGGAAAGTGAGAAGTTTGTAGGCTTCCCGCATTCAATCGTTGTTAAGTTGTAATAGATAATATATAGTACATAGCATATACTCTTCTCCCAAATAGTTCTAGCACGTAGTGTTTTAGCTTTGATATTTTTATACATTTAAAATGCTTATTGGTATAATTTATTTTGTATCCCACTTGAATAAAAATACTATTATTTTAAAAATCCAGTTATCTCCTCTTAAGCTGCCTTGTGTGTAAAGACCTAAAGAAGCACATGATGTTTCCAAGACCTTAGCTAGTGCATTAGGAGCCCCCGGTGGTGCAGTGGGCAACATCCTTGCAGATGGCCAATTCTCTCACACCAGAAGTGACTTGCAGTTTCTCAAGTCGCTCCTGACCTGACAAAAAAAAAGTTAGTGCATTGAGATATGTCAGCTGTATGTTTTTGCCTACCTGTGGCACAGTCATCTCCAGAATAACCATCATGGCACAGACACACTCCGTTCTGGCATTCTCCATGACCACTGCAGTCTTCTGGACATGCCACTTGTCCACAGTCAGCTCCTGTGTATCCCTTCTGGCAGGCACACACTCCTCCCTTCAAACAGCGTCCTCTCTGGTTGCAATCATTGGGGCAAGATTTGGTACCACAGGCTGGACCAGTAAAGCCCGGCTCACAGACACAGCGACCATTGCGGCACTCCCCACGCCGGTTACAATTGCTGGGACAGGCCCGGGTCCCACAGTCCAGCCCTGAATAACCAGGGTCGCACACACAGCGTCCTGACACACACTGCCCATGGCCTTGGCAGTCCTGGGGGCATGCAGGATCAGAGCAGGAAGGGCCAACATAGCCTGGAAAGCAACTGCAGCGCCCATCCACGCAGCGACCTTGGTCATTGCAGTCATCTGGGCACGAAGGTGGGTCCTCACAGTTGGTTCCCCTGTAGCCAGGACGACACTGGCAACGGCCATTTACACACTTGCCACGCTGTGGGCCACCACATCCACCTGGGCATGCGGGTTCGGCACAGGTGGGGCCACCCCAACCTGGCTCACATTCACATTGGCATCGAGAGAGGTCGAAGGAGCCATGGTGGGAACACAGGGTACGTATGTCTGTTTGACCTACGGGAAGATATGAGAAGGAAAGGCGGGATGAGAATGAGCAGTGAAGCTATTCAAAGTTGAGTATCTATCCATAGTTAGCATCTATTTATACAGTACAACCCCTGTATCCACAAAACCAGTATTTGGGATTTCATTTACCCATGTCTCAAAAGAATAATTCTGCCAGGCTGTAGCACAGCTGGTAAATCACCAGCAGTAATAATTCACTGCCAACTGAAAGGTTGCCAGTTCGAAGTTTTGGTTGGGGTGAGCACCCGACTGTCAGCCCAGCTTACTGTCCACCTAAACAATTCAAAAACAGCTTGAGAGCTGTAAGTAGACAAATTAGGTACTGCTTAAAGCAGGAGAAGTATTTTACGGCACCATAAAAGGAAATACCAGAAATACCAGAAATGCCGGGGACCAAAAGGATTAGAGGAAGTCTGTGATGGCTCTTCATCATAGAGGATGGAGCAACAGCACCTCCATGTGGCCAGAATTGAGCATAACCTCCTGGGCCGAAGTTGGATGCCAACACAACATATCTCTGTTTCATATCTCTATCTCTGAATGTTTGCCTTGTATGTGTTCTGTGATCCACCCTGAATCCCCTTGCTCGAAAGACAGTTAACTCTGGCCTGCATTTGCCATATACCAACATTAATAAACACATTCAAAACTTACATTATAATTAGATATTTCATTACAAGAGTCAATTAGCTTTTCCTGATTGTTTCTTCTCTGGAGTTTCCCTGTGTTTGAATGTTGTTCTTTATTTACTGTTATAATTTTAGAGTTTTTTTAATACTGGTAGCCAGATTTTCCTAGTTTCCAACAGACCTCACAACCTCTGAGGATGCCTGCCATAGATGAAGGGGAAACGTTGCAGTAGTCCAGACGGGATGCAACTAAGGCGTGGACTACCATGACCAATTTGATGCTGCCTTACTTTCCATGGCTTAATGCTATAGAATCTTGGAAGTTGTAGTTTAGTGAAGGACAAACACTATTTGGCAGAGAAGGCTAAAGACCTTGTAAAATTACAATTATCATGATTTTACTATTCACCTGTCATAGAAAAATCCAGTTTTGGCCCCACAAACATGCTCGCGATTTATACATGACGTCAGTTTATTCAGAAATATATGGTAGTTGCATTGCTGTAAGTTTTTTCAGGCTGTATGGCCATGTTCCAGTAGCATTATCTCCTAACGTTTTGCCTGCATCTCTGGCTGGCGGCAACTGCTTGAGATACTTGCAACTGCTTGAGATACTCCTGAGTGATTCCAGCCACAAAAACCTTAGACAACATATATGGTAATTGTTGGAAAATGTAAATTGTGAGGAGGAACAAATTACAATTATTTACAAGATCTGCTTGTATCAAATTTACCTGCCTACAGATTGTACGCAGTGTAGGGGCTCAGCCTGTGATGGTCTCTGTGTCTCAGGCTCCTGAGGAGAATGATCATGAGTCTGCAGAGGTTCTGAGTTAAATGATCAGGTTTCTGCTGACTCTCGGGGGTTTGTGGATGGAGATGATGGTCAAGAGAATACTGTTAGCCAGGGTGAACCTGCTGAGGATTCTGGGATAGTTGGTTCACTAGGCACAAATGCTTCAGTACAGGCAGAACCAGAGGCCGAGGAAAAGTCAAGGCTAAATAGTGATAGCGAAAGGAATGTGCTAATTGGCAAACCAAGGGATTCAAGTTTTAACCCAAGAGGCAATATTCCTGCTTCTTGGCAGGGGGTTGGACTGGATGGCCCATGAGGTCTCTTCCAACTCTTTGATTCTATGATTCTATGATTCTAGCCCAGATTTATCAGGATTGCTACCTTGATTCAGGCGCTTTGCAAGACTGAGAGAAAAGGGTCAGGGAGAGGTTTCCCAAGGGAAACAGAATGCTTTTGTTATGCCTTTCTGAATAAATATAGGGCCTGTGAATCTATAGTCTTCAGTGAGTCCAATGTTTGGTTTTCATGTACAACCATGTCTTTTGCTTCATGCCTGATGTGTTCCTGTTCATGCTGCGATTCCTGTGTACCACTGCTTTGAATTCATGTTCATGCTGAGATCTTTGTAAGCTGTTTACCTTGGGATCAAGCTCCTGCATTTGGTTTTATTGATTCAAGTTTGCTTCTGTTTCTTCAAGGGACTTTGGTCTTTTGCAACCTTGCATCTGAGAGACTCTAGCTCCTGTGGACTTGTTTGCTGGACTTTGGGACTTTCCTGTTTCCTGTTTTACATTTCTCAACTGACTGTTTTGTGGACATTTCTTTGTTACTTGTTTGAATGCTTTTTACCTTTTTGGCTATTGCTATATTAATCTTCAATAAATTGCTTAAAGAACATCGGTGTGCTTACGGGTTCAAAGGTGCCAACCCCAGCCTTGGTGTACAACACACAGGCAGTCCCCATTGCCCTTCCCTGGGGCCTTACCTGTGCTGGCTTGGCTGGGGGCCGTAGCAGGGCAGCAGCCACTCCCAGCTTGGCAGGTGTCCCTTAGCGTCCGGACTTCATTCTCAAGTGCCTGTAACCGCTTGAGAAGCTCTCGCGTGTCCTCAGTCCCAGGCGCACACCCACAGGACTGCTGGGGAAGGTTGATGCGATGGGTGAAAACCACGTGCTCCTGATCGGGCCCTTCCAGCGTGTGTTCATACAAGCCCCCTCCATGGGAGGACCCAGGGGGGCCCAAGGCTTCTTGGGGCATAGAGGTTGCTCCTTCCCCTTCCATCACATCCCCTGCAAGTTTGATAGTGTAGACATGGGAAAAAACAGTTGCGTTGGAGGGGAAGGAGACGGGACGGGACACCTGAGTCTCCCAGGAAGTTCCCAGATAGAAGAGGAAGAGCAGGAGGGAAATGGCATTCGGTGGCCTCCCCATGATGCAGAGCTATGACAAAAAAAGGAGAAGGAATCAGTCATACAGAGGGAGATTGGGAAAAATGAGAAAGTACTGATCACAGAGAAAAAGAAAGGCTAGGTCAACCATATTTCTTTATTTAGAGCAGTGGTTCCAAACCTTTTTTTTTTCCTACGACCACTTTGATTTTTTTGTTGTTAGCTGGGACCAAAGGCTCAAGAATAATGTTAATCTAAAAATAAACTTTAATCAAAACTCTTAACAGATTCATTAAACTTAATAGTAACATGAATTAAGAGTACTATCTATATAAATAAAAATGCAAATGTCCATTTGTGAATGACCTCAAAACTCACAAAATACATCACCGATTGCTTTGTAATTTGGACACAATGTCACATTCGAACAGGCAAATGTTTTTATGTATTCATATACCTACTATTGTATAGATGTCACACCTGTGACAGGTAAAAATATGCTTGACATCAAAAACAGTGCCATCTTCTGGATGCCCAAGCAACACATTACGAGGTGATGTAAATAAATAACCCAGTGATTTGGGCCATAAAAGTCTTCAACAACACATATTTTAGTTCTTGTGGTGCACTGGTGGTCCATGGACCACTGGTTGGTAACCACTGATTTTCTGTCTCCACAAGGGATACATTCCCAAGTTTCATATGGATGTATGAAACCACAGATGATAGGAAACTGGTGGATTTTTGGCCCAAGAAGTATCATAAAGTTGTTCTGGAGGACTTAGCAAATGTCTGTTGAGGACATAGATTTGTTTTACATAGATAAATGCAACCACAGACACTGGTCCCCCTGAGACAAATGTTTACTTCCTGTGTTGGAGCATATAAAAATCAATTGATGAGTGTGCTAACTGAAAAATGCAAAGCACAAAACTGATTGGTTGGGCTATGCCAGTGATGCTAGCTGAGCCTGAGAGTTTTAGCAACAGTTACATTTTTTTCTGTGCAGAAGCTTGCCAAGACAAGTTAGTATATTTTCTGCTTCTGGGCTGCTAGAAGAAGATCCTTCACATGGAACATTTAGATCTCTCTCAAAGGACATTGTGTGAGTCAATGCAACTGTTCACATGACTGTATATATGTAGTTCTGCATCACAAAGAGTAGGCACCTTATTCTTTACTGATCATCTGTGTGGCATCTATTTTCTCTAGCAAGACAGTGTGTGGATTGTTGTTGTGTTTTTTTGAAGACAACATATAGAAGTTTATTCTTTCTGTTCAGAAAGAATGACAGTACAGAGACTGCACTCTAAAAGAACCGACATAAGACATGCAGAGAAGTATGGAGCATTTATCCACTTTGACACTCATTCAAAATATCTGGGACCTTCCTGATTGATGGAAAAAACTATCCTGGTTTGATACAAGTTCATGTAAAGACCCACCCCTGTGTGAATCCAGGAATGTGATGATGCCAAATACACATTGTTTCTCAGCATATGTAAGTGGATTTATCAATGGGAGAGAGGTTACTCAATGAAAGGGAGTTGTGGTTTACTTAAACATAATAGCTATCTCATCAATAAGATTTGAGTACCTCCAGGCTTGTGTATATTAACCAGTTTAGCCCATTTCCTGTCCCAATGCATGAGATTAAGCAAGTCAATTTTATAGATTTGCAGTTCCAGTTACACTTTAAGGGTTTGATTTCATTTGATATAATTTATACAATTTCATAAAGGTGAGTTTCATACATAAGGGAAGATATAGTTGACCAGACTTCTCAGAGTTGAGGAGGAACAGCATTTCGACATTGCAAAAGACGTGAACTACCTGTGATTTTCATTGCACCACATCCTGCCCTCCTAGTATAAAATCTCAGGGAAGAAGTGTGCATAATAGACCATGTTAATATTATGGGTCATACAGCTCAGTTCTCCAATGACTTGCTTTCCATCTTTCATGATGGTTTTTATATGGCAGTGTAGAAGGGGACTGAGTTTCGTGATCAAGCAGAGATTCCTGAGTCAAAGGCAAACCTTCAAACCACAACTCCATGCTGGCTCTCTTCTGGCCGTGAACACCAGCCAAGAAATACTGTTTTTGATAAACAAGAATAATAGTACTCTTTGTCCTATTCAAATTCAAATGTCTTGAGAAGTGTTAAGATCCTTCTCACCCTCCTTTCCGCACATGTAAGCATATCCAAAAATGGTGCCTTAATGCGCTGTTGTTAGACCAATCCAATAAATTCCTGGAGCGTCATGCCACTAGATTTTTGCAAAAGGCCACCAAGGGAATTGTTAAGCACAATGTGGATTTCGCCTATCACATTGATGTGGATGGCAGGAATGCAAACAGAGGCTTGATGAGAATCCCAGAGCCCTCAGCAAAGCTGGGTGGTTGGGAAAAAGCCACAGTGGTGGTGGAAAAACAACCCACAGGCTGCTCCAAAGAGCAAACAGAGACGCATCCAATAATCAGCCTTGAAGCAGGCCAGGGAGAACTGGATTAGATAAGAATAGTTCAGGATGGAGGGAAAGAACATAACAGTATCCTAAGGACTTCCTTAAAATAACAACCGTTCAGCACAGGCTCAGCCACCTCCAGAAGTTATGGGATTTTCATAGCCAGGGTCATTTCACACCCAATGAAAATCCTGCAGAACTTTGTAGCATAACAGCATTGGAAGGGACTCCAAGGGCCATCCAGTCCAACCCCATTCTGCCAAGCGGGAATACACAGTTGAAACCCTCCTAACAGGTGTGGTGGGAAAGACCTGCCTTCCAGGCCTCCGCTGGACCCAGCAGAGCAGCAGCATGCGACACACTGGGGAAGGCCTGCCTCCCTAGCCTGCTGCTGCCTGCATGGCTCCGGAGGCTCAGCCGGCGTCTGCGGAGGCCAGGAAGGCAGGCAGGCACCCTCGGGATGGGCCGGGAGAATGAGTGGCCACAAAAGCACCCCAAGTCACGGGAAGGCAAGCGGAGCCAGTGGAGGGAGTTCCAGCCCACACACCAACCTCCTTTTCTGAGGCACGATGGGGAAGGCCTGCCTCCCTGGCCTGATGCTGCCTGTGTGGCTCCGGAGGCTCTGCCGGGGTCTGCGGAGGCCAGGGAGCCGCCCTTGGGATGGGCCAGGAGAAGGAGTGGCTGCACAAGCGCTCCAAGTCCCAGAAGGGCAAGCAGAACCGGCGGACGGAGTTCGCCTCCTTTTCTGAGGACGTAAATATTTTATATTAATATTTAGAAAAACCTGTAAAACAGCGAGTCTGCGTAAAGTGAACCGCGAAGTAGCGAGTGTGCTATCGCACGCTGGGCCTGTGCTTATGACTGTAGACAGGACATAAATTCTGTGTGCCCAATGGGACGCCGGGGCTGTCTCAGATCAAAGGCCCTTGGATTCCCCCAAATAGAGTTCTGTAGAGGCTTAAAGTAAGTCCAACAAAGTTATTTATTGATGAAAACAAACCAGTACTTTCAAGCTTTCTTAACAGTCTATTGGCTCTTGCAATCTTGTTCACTGGGAACAGGCACTATCTTCATAACTATAACTAACTAATGGGGAAATCCTTAACTTCTAATCTGGGCAGTCTGTACCAACTGCGTCTGGCTTCCGTGAGTGACCCTTGCCAAGCAGAGCTTTGTAGACTTCCAGGGGAAAAGAAGGAGTTCAGGTTGCTGTGATGGCCGGCTGAAGTCCCTCAGCCAAGCTGTGGAGCCTTTTCTCCCTGGCCATGCTGTAGGCCCGTGATGGTGAACCTATGACACGCGTGTCAGCACTGAGACACATGGCTATTTTTGATGACACACAGACACATGCAGCCACATACAGAGAAATACACCTTATAAGAGCCAATCTAATTCCATCCTTAAATTTGTAAAAGGCTCCACAAATTTAACATCTGCACGTTTGAGCACTGTTCACTCCATAACCCAGCATGGAATATACATTTTTCTTATTTAAACTATAAATATTGCAAAATTATGTTTGTTTGTTTTTCTCACAGTGACACTCTACCCAAGTTATGCTCAGGTTTCTGGCAAATTTTGACACACCAAGCTCAAAAGATTGCCCATCACTGCTGTAGGCTGTAGGCTGAATATCTCCCTGGTCAAGCCGTAGAAGACGAAACTTTCTACAGGAGCTACTTCGTTTTATGTCCTGTGCGAAAGGCTTCTCTGTGAGAACTGACTCAAAAAGGCTCCTATTCCCTCCAAAACTCAAAGAGGGGCGGGACCAGGAACCTAACGATAATTGACAGGTGGCTTGCCCTATGATAGCAAACTATAACAGGAAGCCACCCTGCTGCAAAATCCCAAGCCTGGGATTGCAAACAAACATTTAATGCAAAGCAAACAATATTGGAGCTCCTGGTACAGCTGTACCAGCACAGCGAGGGAACACTGTACATAATAACTGTACCTTCAATTTGCTTCTGACATGATAAACCATTAAACCCATTACTATTCTAGTTTGATGGAGACGAAATGTGTCCTATGTCTTTTCTTTCCTCCCAGCTTTTAGCATCGCCACCTGCTCCTTTTTGGCAGGGCTCCTGAGCCATTAACGACACCATGACAGTATAAAATTTAGCAATTCGGCTTCTCTCGACAGTGATAACTCTGGGCTGGTGGAATTTTTAAAATGCAGCTTTGTCCATAGCATGTCTGCCTGTGAATGCAGCTGTTCAAAGAAGCAGGAATGCCGCCAAGGCGGGGAGAGATGGTGGCTGCCCTATCCTGAGTTAACCTTTCTCTATAGATGGGGAATTTTCAACCTCCCTCCTCTCCTCCTGCAATTCAGGTCAACGCACTGCTGGAATCCATGGGAGTTAACAAACATCTGAACTCTGGAGAAAAGCCTGCTCCGGCCAGACTTATTATTATTCCAGCTGTTGGCCCAAAGTGCCGCAGTTTTCCAATAAACGTTCCTGGACTTCCCTTCATTTTCCCTCTGGAGGCTGCTCCGTTACTTATGGGGAGTAAATAAAGCGCCTCTGAACCTCGTCTTATATATGAATGGCTTCTCTCAGAGAGATGTACAGGAGGAGAG